AGAAGAGAGATAAGGAATACATGAACGAAGAGTTATTGAATTAGATATATACATATTTAATTTATGATTTAATTATCAATGGTGTTATAAGAATTTATAACTTAAACAATAGATGGCAACAAAAATTCATTTTGCTATAAGATATTTTTTTTTTAATTTTATCGACAGAAATTATTTTTACTAGTAATTTTTCTTAAATTATTACATTAATTAAGTATATATATTTATCAAGATTGTTAAAATAAAAATAAAAAAAAAAACTTCTATTATTTTCAAATTACTGGTAATCTTCAAGATTAGTTTGTTAGATAGAATAATCCTATCTTATAATATATACACATGTATATTTATATTTCTTATTTAACAAGAAAAATAATATTACAAAACAAAAATAAATTCAAAGATTTAAATTTATAATTAAAAATAAATAAAAATTAATTATATTAAGTTATATTAAATATATAATGTAATCATATGATGTATATATATGAATACTTATTTATTTTAATTTTTTAAAATAAATTTAATTTTTTATGTTAAATGATGATTAATTTTAATGTATCATAAAATGCGTTCACTATCAATGCCAAATTTGTTATGAAATAGATGTTTGCAGTTTTACCTTGGCAAGTGGGAACAGTTTAAACGGGCAGTGAAAGGATCCAATGCACGCACACATTGCAATACTATAGATTATGACCACGCCCCGAATCCTGTGTGATATATAATAAAATAATAAAGTAATAAATTATAATAAATCAAAAGTCAATACCATCGACCAGTAATGATGGATTTATTTTCTTCAAACTAATTGTAATTATTACCCTAGTTATAAATAGTTATTCGCTTAAAAGAACTTTATAGGTTAAATTTTAAAATTATAAAAATAAAATCAAGATGAATATTTATTTATAAGAAATAAAAACATAAAAAAAGATAGTATTATTATTTTTTAGAATAGAAAATTTTTAAAACAAGAAAAGGAAGAAAAATTATTTTAAAAACAAAAATTTTTAATTAATTTTTAATAATCAAATATACAAAAAATACAATGAAATGTATACATATAATATATACATATAATATATATATTCAATAGATATTTATTATAGATAATATAATATTCAGTATTGTTATATATAAAACAATTATTTATAAAAAAAAGTTATAATATACATAAGCTATAATATAATATTATTTTTATTGTATTTCAATTCGCTAACGAGTTTCATATTATTATTTTCTCCTTTTATTTTAATCATATAAAAAATCAAAATAATTTATTAGAGAACGCGAACTATAAGATTTATTCCTGTCAAAAAAAAAAAACACAGGATAAAGATAACTGCCAAAAATGTCATAATACATAATCCTGATTTCATGCGCGGCTTTCAAAAGGAAGATGGCAGCAGTACAGCATGTGAATGATTGTGACCACCCCGTCGAACATTCGAAGAAACCGTGAATCTTTAAATTCCTCGACCGGTCATTAGGACAAAAGTATACCTGTGTCTACGATCCTTCGTAGACCTGTTACCTTGGAACAATGCCTATCCGACAAGTGTTTTCATATCTGATTGACCCATCTTCGAATGGAACTTGGACAAACGGCTAATTTTTCTTCGAGCTAACGATCTTCGTATACCTGATGTATCCTTTTCTCCCATATTTTCTCCCATTTTATCTATTCAATTTTGTCTCTTTTCCACTTTTGAGAAAACATCTTCAGAGTCACGCGAACATTCATTCAACCAATCTTATATCATATTTACATCTTTCTTTCATAACCTTTTATAATATTTAATCTCATAGCTCATTCGTTAAGCTAATCTAACCTAATTAATTGTATTCTGATAATATAAAAAGATGAAATCAATTTCAACGTTGAATTTTCTTCTTTCTAATGCATCTCTCCTATGTGAGCGTTGATGTCTCTCTTATTAAAGTATATAGTTTTGATATCATGTTTTTTTTTTAATTTTATTATTGAAAAAATTGATTTTATCATTTTGAAAGAAAGATATATTTTTTTGAAAAAAAAAATATATTAATTCTTGAAGATCCAATATTGCATTAATGCTACATTTTATGAAGTTGTTGAAAACTTATTTTCTCTCCGATTTCGATGATTTTTAAATATGTCTTATAGATAATATTTTAATTAATTTTCTCTTATACCCATATATATGTTTCATGATAATATTTAATTTTTTTCTCGTTATCTTTTCTAAGTTAAATTCAATTCAAAGTTCAATTAAAATTAATAATATTATGAAATTCTAAAATTTCAAAATTATAATGAATTTTATTAAATTATAAAAATATTTGCTTCTATTTTATATGATGAAATATTTATTTAACTTTCATAATACAAATAAGATATAGGTATATAGCCTAGATATTTTGATTATAATTTCAAATTAAAATAAATTTTTATATAATTCCTCTTTATTATCTGTTACATTCATTTTTAACGCAGGATTTAAGAGAACTTAAGTCTTAGTTATTTTTTTATTGAATTAAGTGAAAAAAAAATAGAGAACTTGAATCTAATAACATCGAGTTAACTAAATTGTGTTTCTTCTATGCAAGAAATAAAGATAGAAAATCGCTAACTTGCGCATAATGTAATCAATATATATATGTAAAATATTCTAATAATATAACTCTTTTAAATTTATAGTTGTAGCATGATGTAATATATTTATTCTCTTATCTAACGTTCTTACATGTATGTTTAATAACAATATAGTAAAAAAGAACATTGAAATAGAATTATATTCCATTTGATATTTAATAATCAATAATAAATTAAATAAAATGTTTTAAAATGTTCTATGTTTAATATTCTAAAAACATTTTAAGAATTTATATTCCTATATATTATTTATTACATATATTATTTATTCCTATATATCTTAATAAATGATAATAATTATGTTTATTCTTATATATATTTTTTGATAATAATCATATATAAATAATTATTTATAAATTATATCAATACACGTAAAAATTATTTCATTATTTGATCTTAATGGATTAATAAGCTCTATGTCGAACATAAAATACAATTTCGTGAGTGCTCTTTCTTGCCGAAAACCAGATTAAAAATCCCAGAGTGCGAAAAAATTCTCAGTATACATGGAGGTATGACGGAAGCAACTAAATACTTAAACGCTCGAAACGCAAGCTTAAATGCCGTTGATTGCAGTAGGAGGGAAATGAGAGGTTGCACGACGGACTCATATCTCTCGTAATAGTGATCGTTCTTAAAGACAACCAGATAACGAGTCCTTCCATGAATCGGTCAATAAATTAATAATCATTTTTTGATTCAATCGAAACATACATAGTTTCAAATCGAATATTCATTTGTATTAACGTTAATTTTTTCCACTGTTTCTTCTATTGACTCAAGTTTTTTTTTCCCTTGTTGAATGAAATTTACATTTCTTTTTTCGGAAATTTAATTTAACATTTGTGTTAATACTCAAGCACTTAAAATTTATCATTTTCCCATTAAAACTTTAAGAAATTTATTATTTTCGCATTAAAATTTTTAGAATCAATTGAATCGATGTTATTTGACATATTTGACACATCGAACTTACTTCGAAATTAAAATTTAATTATCAAAAGAATTATTTATAGTAATTTACAAATTACTATAAAATTTTATTATTATATAGATAACTAGAAAATAAATTAGAAATTAGAAATTTAATATCAAAAATTTTGAGTATTATTGAATTATTAAATTTTTTTATAAAGAAACAATATTTATATAAAGAAATTAATAAAGAATTAAAAAAAAGAAATAAAAAATTTAAAAATTAATTTTATTAATTTATCTTTAAAAATGATATATATTATTTATTTTTCTTCTAAAAAAAAGTTAAAAATTGTTACAATTAAATGATATAGAATTCGATTTATAAATGAAACTACAATAGCAGTAATAATAAACGAGAAATGATGGAAAACAAAAATTTCGAACATTTTTAAAATTTTAAAAATACAACAAACTACTGACTAACAGTTGGCTTGTAAATGAGTATTTAGTTTATCTTTAAAGAATCAGAAACAGAGGATAAGAAGTTGCACTTTCTATGAGGAATTGCTTCCGTTAAGGAGATTGAAAGGCACAGATCGAATCGATTTTCATTCATTTTCTCCACGCTCAGATGCTTTTTTTTAGAGATATCATAATTTCTGAATTTACTGATAATTATCGACATTGACAAATAACGACTACACTTAACATTTATCAATGTTACAATAAAACTTTCGCAGTATAGAATGATCGCAAAATACAGAAGAATAGAACGGAAAAGAAAACTAAAAAAACAAACACTAAAGTTTATTCATTATAAATTCATTGCTCAAGATTAGTCGCAACTATATACCATATACATCTGCAAAATGCAGAAAATTCGAGTTTAATTTCATCTTTGTTTTTGACAACCTTGAAAAATGACAGCTAGGAAAAAGACGAAGAAAGCTTAAAACTCCAACATTTGAAAAAATATGTGGTATATCGATTTCGTGAATTACTCGCTTCGCTGAGTCTAAGAAAGATATCCTCGAATGGTATCATATATCCGCAAGAAGTAGCCGAGCACATAACGAATAAATACTGAAAAAAGTAGGAGATGATCAGGAGGAAGAAGGAAGATAAAAGAAAGTAGAGGGGAAGAAGATAAGAGAAAGAGGGGACTGAAAGCGAGAAAGAAAAGATAGAGAGAAGCAATGGAACAGGTAAAACAAAAAGTGAGGAAAAAATTGAAAACCAGTCTCTCAGTCAGGAAGGTAGTTCTTCGGAGTCTAGCAGACTGCGGACTCGCTCTCTTCTCCTTTTCCACCACCATCGCTATCAGCAACCACCACCACCACTGTGTTCGGCAACGACTTTACGGTAACAGCGGCTGCAGCACCACCACCACCACTACCAACTCGCTTGGCTACCATCGCCAACACCTCCTTTTCCTCCTCCTCCTCCTACACCTCTTTCCCTTTCCGCTTCTCCGTTTCTCTCGGTCCACGTCCTTCCTTAATTCAGTCCAATGAGAGTCGCTCTTCGATTCGTCGCACCCGTCATAGATACTCGGTTCGTCTCGATCTTTCAGGATACTTTTTCTCCTTCACCATCCTTTGGTCGAGTCGTACAATTCGCCAAGCAGTTGTGTGCCAACTTGCCTCGAGTCTCGCGACACATCGATTTCAAGATCGGAATTTAACAAACCGGTCGGTCCGCGCGAATACACGAACGAATATCGTGGTCAGAGAAAGTGTCAGCTAGTGGGAACAAGAGTGGATCTGTTCGAATGGATCGATAGATCGTGCCGATTATTATAGAGACAGAGAGGATTATACGCAAAAGATCGAGCGTGTTTCTTATTGTGTTAAAGAAAAACAGTTTGTTTTTCTACGTTTAGAAGGATACGCTTGACGGAGAGAACATGTTTCGTACCAGTCGCAACGCGAACCGGTTGCGCGTGCTTAAAATAGTTACCCGTGCATAGGTTACCGCTCTACCCACCGTTCGCTCATTGGAATACATTTCAGGATTGTCAGGTAAACACATACCGGCGAATCCCGGTTTTAATCGATCTTTTTTTTGCGATGAAGAACGGAGAAGGAGATTCGATTGGAATCACGCCTTTTTTTATTTATCGTGCCTTACCGTAGAGATTCGCACTATAGATCTATTCGCAGTAATTGCGATTCAAATCATTATTGTAAACGTCTAATACATCGCAACGTTATCGAGTCAATTCTACTGCGCTTTTAGCATTCTATATAGTTAGAGAGATAGTTGATTTTGTGCAAATCTGGTATATTTCGTTGGCATGCGATATCGGATTCTTGCGAAACGTTTATCTTGGCCGCGTGCACGCATTTATAGTCGGCCATTTCACGATCGATCGAGTCCCCCTTTTCTATCGTTTCTTAGAACGAGGAAGAAACGACAGGTTAAAATCATGGATACAAAGAGACTGGCGTTTAGAATGAAATGATAATTAATTGCGTTATAAGTTTCCGTATAATTCTTTCTCATATTGAAACAAATCAGGATTGGATACGTTTTATTTGAAATGAAAATAAAATATAAAAAGAAGAAATAGTTATAATAATTGAAATAAAAATGATAAAAATAAAAAATATTTGCGAATAACTTTCAAGATCTTATTTAAAAAATAAACTTTTTTCAAATATTTCACAGATTGAATCTTTGATTATTTCAAATAATAATAAGAAATAAAATATAACAAATAATAAAAATTATAATATATAATATATATTAATATAGATATATTAATAAACAAAATTTTAGCAAATTTTAGCAAATCAAGAAATGCGTATCTATAAAAAAATAAAAAAAAGAAAATGATTTTAAGAAATTTCAAATAGAAAAATTACCAAAAAAAATCATAGAAATGAATTACTTAGTATGACAGAAAAACGTCAGACTATCAAATAAAATAGCAAATATTAAAATAATCTAATTTTTAAATACACTATTATTCAAGTAATATTATTTAAAATAAAGCAAATAAAAAATAAAATAAAAATTTCATTGTCAAATGTCCAATCCTATTTCTTTTATTTAAAATTTTTGATAAGATGAAACCAAATTTGAAAATTTTAACGCGATTTCACTGTATCTAGTTTTATATTCTTTTTTCTTTAAATTTTTGATAAATTTACATCGAGATTGTTGTACATGTAGTGAAATGCAAAAACTTTTCTTTCGTCATCTTTTTTCATTACTTGTCTGGTGTTTTGTTGTCGGTGCCGCGAAAAACGCATGTCCAATAAGAAACGATGAACGGCATACGGATGCGTCAACAATTGATTCAAACTGCATGAGTATTTCTAGAAAGGAATGCACTTTTTTGTATTCTCCAAGTACGATACATTGAAGTGTATAGAGGAGTGTGGGGTCGAAAGTGACACTTTGACTTTGGAATACGATAACTGAAAAATTATTACATTCACAATTATTATATACAAAAATTTGTACATAAGAATATTACACATATCTGATATTATTTGGTCAAAATTGCTTTGCTTTACGATAAATAATAATAAAGTTATTAATAAATCAATTGCATTGTTCAATATATCCATTGTAACACAGTTTCAACTTTAAAAAACTATTAGTTTAATATATATTTATTAATTATTACTAATAATAATTAATTCAATAAATATTGAACTAAATTATAATTGGCCTTTTTTTTTGTTATTTTCTATCTCTATTTTGCTTGATTTATTGCAAAATTAAAATCTTTATGATTTAATAAATAAATCAGAATCCATATTTTTGTACATATCAACTTTTATGTTTACTTACATATTTAAATCTCTCAAAAATCGTCCATCAATATATTAATATCTTGTATACGAAGAAATTTATTATTGTTTATTTCCTATTATTATTTAAAATAATCAAAGATTGATAAATAAATCATTTGAAAATAAGTCAAATATATTTTAGAATTTATTTGCAAGTACTTTCATTTCATAAAATCACATAAAATCGAATAATCAATTATAAATAGATTTTCATACATAATTTAATAGAATATAGAAGCATATATAGTAATATAATTTAATAATAACAACGTATATAAATAACTTACAAATAAATCAAGTTAAAAAAAGTTTATATTTATAGAAATCTTCATAATGGAAAACGACGAAATTTTAATCTTATAAAGATTTTAGAATTATGAAATTTGAAATTTGTATTAATTTTTTCGCGACATTCTTATTAGGAAAAATGAATTAAAATAATTTAATTCTAGATTTACACATATTTAAAAATTATTTTATATTACTTACATTATTTGAAAGTTAAAGAACACATAGAAAATATTAAAATATTTCGATACATAGATTTTGAAAAATAAAAAAGTAAAAGATATGATATTTTAACTAAGTAAATAGTATAGAGGTTAGAATTATAATATATGAATAAATGAGAATTCGAATAGCAAATACGAACGTAGGTAGATACCTTCCATGAAGGCGATTGCCGTTTGTTATTGAAGTTATTCCATTGCCTCGGGCTAGAACAAGGCGAGGCTGTAAGCACGTCTGTCCCTGGATGACGAACGTTTACATTTCAATACAGTTGGAATTTTTCTAAAACCGTTCAGTCTCTAGTCGCAATGCGCGCGGCGCCTCCATCGTGATTCCTTCGTTGCATAGGACATCCACGGCATTTCAATTAGCTACTTCAACGAATAAAAATTTGCAGTCGTTTTTCTCCACGATTTATCAGTTGTATTTGCAATTAAACAAAACTATATATTTCAATATTTTTATTTTGTTTAAATTCCTTTTTTCATTTTTCAAGATTAATAAATTCTAAATACTTTCTTTTTTTTTTAGATTTAATAAGTAAATGCATGAAAGATTGTTGAAAAATATTGCGTTGCATTCTATTTTTGCAAATATACTATTAATTATGTTTTGTTAAAAAATGAAATATCGAAATTAAAAAATGATTTTGCTAAAAAACATTTACTTCTTAATATATTAATGTAATGTCTATATATGATTAAAAAACTATTTTATTTAAATATTTATTTATACATTAATATATAAAACAAAGATATTTCAAATGTGTATTTTATTAAAATATTTTTATAAACTAAAAATATTTATTAACATCACAATACAATATTATTAAAATCAAAATATTATATAATTAATATTATATAATATCATTGATAGATAAGATGTTAAGACAAAAATCAGTTATTGATTGCAGAATATCATCTTTATTAAAATTACTTAGATCGAAATATTGATTTATTAATATCAATTAATTATATCAAATATCAATTATTAATATAAATATTTTTATGTTTTTATATTTAATAATTTACTTTGAATAAATATC